TACACAGCTCTTTCCACATAACACAGTACCTCTTCATTAACAAGTCAACATGATTCACCCTATGTTCTTATATACACATGATTTGGGACTGCAGTGCCAATGACCAGATTAACATACTGACATATAGAGAGGCCCTTGACAGATTTGTTCATAGGGCTATGGAGTGCAATATTGTTCTTCGCTATTACTGCTTTGGGAACAAAGTGTGGCCCTAAGAACAAAACATGATTTAATTGGTGGTGGAGAGCATCTAAGCAAGCATAGTGAAGTATAGAAACCAGTGTTGATTCAAAATGGGAATCCACATGCTATCTCATCCCAAGTGATGGATTTGATGTCTTTGTCCACAGTAATGCTTAGTCTAGTGTCCACTATGTATAGGTGTTTAATTCTGTGGGTAGTGCTTGAGGGGTTGGGAGGTGGAGCAGATATGTTCTCCACTAACGCCAACCCACAAGCGACTTGTGGCCACTTGTGGCACGCATAGGCATGCGGCCTCGAGGCGGCGTTCTTGGTGGTTGGTGGCGTGGAGGCGTCTGGCAAAACTGTCTCTCCCGCGGTAGGAGCAGAGACGAGACGGCGCTCTAGTCTCTTTTTCTCGTGACTAAGGCAGTGACCGGAACATATCCATCCGAGACCCTTACTGCGCCGACTGCCTTCTGCCCCCTGCTCGAAATCGGGGTCACTTGACTCTCACCCCTCATTGGCCCACTGGGAAGGACCACATGGGACTTGCCGTCCGGGCGGTTTTCGCTTGGGAACACACGCATATACCTGCATGGGCAAAACTAGCAGATATCTCCCTTCCACTCCTGAAGAAGCGCAGAGTTGCGCGAAACGTTGAAGCTGCTCTTTCCCACCCCCACCCTTCATTAGCAGTTACCATCGACTACATGATCACTACCTAGGCCCTTGACACCATGACATAGTGGGAAATTGTTGTCCTCACTCTGGTCCTACTACTTGATTGAACTCCACAAGCACTATCACTATTTTGTGATTATATTAATCCAACATACAGTCTATTATGGTAGTCAAACTGGGTGCAGGGCAGGAATATCCAACCTGCTCACCATAGACCATACATTTCCTTTGTATTACAGTATTTCTTATTTATTTATAAAATTTTGTTATCATCACATAATGAATTAACTTAAGTATTATATATGCTTGTAATCTAATGGTGAACTGCACTGTTCTTCGATATAATCATGACTATCTGCAATATGCCTTAATCATGTGTCCCAAACTATGTGATCTCCGATAATCATTGTGAATACCTTGGCATTTTTTCTTAAAGTGGCCACAAGTCGCTTGTGGGTTGGCGTTAGTGGAGAACATATCTGCTCCACCTCCCAACCCCTCAAGCACTACCCACAGAATTAAACACCTATACATAGTGGACACTAGACTAAGCATTACTGTGGACAAAGACATCAAATCCATCACTTGGGATGAGATAGCATGTGGATTCCCATTTTGAATCAACACTGGTTTCTATACTTCACTATGCTTGCTTAGATGCTCTCCACCACCAATTAAATCATGTTTTGTTCTTAGGGCCACACTTTGTTCCCAAAGCAGTAATAGCGAAGAACAATATTGCACTCCATAGCCCTATGAACAAATCTGTCAAGGGCCTCTCTATATGTCAGTATGTTAATCTGGTCATTGGCACTGCAGTCCCAAATCATGTGTATATAAGAACATAGGGTGAATCATGTTGACTTGTTAATGAAGAGGTACTGTGTTATGTGGAAAGAGCTGTGTAGGGACCATCTATTTAGTTTAAATAACTTTTATTGCTGGCTTTAAGCCTTTCTTTTTAAGATTTATATTAAATAAAAATATATTTTTTATATATTTTTCTTGTTTGGAGTTGTCATTCATCCGGTGCCTTTAAAACCCCACTTTCTCTTTAAAGAACTCTCTTTGTGTATACGGAAGAGCATAGAAATAATACTACTTTATTGCCCAATGGTTTTGCCCTGGACTAAGCTGTAGTTTACCTGTATTGTCAGGTAAACTGTACAGCTTGATCCAGGGTACACCACCAGGGTTGTCCAGTGGTGTGCCCTGGACAAAGCTATACAGTTTACCTGTGTTGTCCAGTGGTGTGCCCTGGGCCAAGCTGTACTGTTTGAAATGAAATCCAAATTACACTGCGCTCTGACAAGTTTTGTCTATGGCGTATTTTTCTCAGAAACCACTACCTTTAAAAGTGGGATATAATAAAGTGATAAATATCTGCAAGAAAATAAAATCTCAACATGCACGCCGTCCCGATGAAGTATTATGACGAAACATGTAGACGAGCGGGTGTACGTGGGGATCACTAAACCTTAGTCTTTACATAGAAGGAGCACATTGGTGCAGTGTTTTTATGTGATTTGTTTCTCGGCTCTTGAGTATTTTTAACCTTTTAATCAAGTTTTTTTTATTGGACATACTGCACTATGAATGTCCCTATTTATTCCTTTTGAGCTATTTTTGGTCACTTTCTGGATCTCCTTTATGCGGAGACCTGAAGTGGTCGGGCTTTTATATCCGTTTAGAGCCGGAGAAGGTGGTGCTGCTGAACATCTTACAGGGATTGTTGAGAGGCAGACCAACAGTTGAATATATAGCCTAAGCGAGTTTACAAAGGCTATTTAGTGAGTGTGGACCTTTTCTGTTAATTCACATGGAGCACTGAGACGCACGGGACATTATAATCTTCACATATGGACATATTGGCATATTGACTTTTTGATTATCACTTTTAACTTTATTTTTTAAAGGACATTTACCATGATACTTTATCCTTTTTTTTATTGTTGTTTTTTTTTCACATGCAACTTGTGTACTCACGGGTTTATATCTTTTGGTGAGATTTTATTTTCTTGCTGATATTTATCACTTTATTATATCCCACTTTTGAAGTTAGTGGTTTGTCAGATTTGAATAAACAAAAACATTTTATATAGATCATTCACTTGAGCGCAGTGTAATTTGGATTTAATTGAGCTAAATTGGTGTGATGGCCACAATCTCCGACAACTTCAGCCTGTGCATAGTAGTTAATTCATGCCCAGGATGTATATTGATGTGCGCATGCGTGGCTCAGTATACATCCATTAGAAACATTGCTTGCAGGAGAACAGCTTTTATTGGAGGAGAGACAGAGTCTATTTTGCGATAAAAGTTTACGTGACAGCAACGTTTTTTTTGTTTCAGAACTTTAGTTACACTTTAAAAAAAGAACTCCAGGCAGTAAAAATACGCACCCACGCACCGGGGTCAAGTGCTCGTTTTGGTCTAGGGTCTAAAAGAAAAAAAAAATGGGATATAAAAAAGGGATATAAAATCACCCGAACCTCAGTCCTGCAGCAGCGACTGCTCAGTTCCCTCCTACTCTGCTCCGGTTGTGGAATATCTCTTAGCATCCTCACATATAATGCAAATCAATGGACTGGATGTCAGCAAAGACCACCGAAGCCCAGGGAAGTAAAGGCTGCGGGGACCGGTGTAGCAGCCAAATAGGATCGAGGATCAGGTAACAAGCAATTCCACTAGAAGGGTTAACTTTTTATCAGCCCAGAGTTCTTCTTTAAGGCCAGATTTACAAATTTCTGTTGCACCAATTTGTGTTTAAGCTGGGCAGTGCAATTTATTTTCACATTTAAGCACATTGCAACGAGTGGATAATCAGAATGTCATGGTATGCTGGCAGCCCAAAATTATTAGGTTGCTGTTACACAATGCACTAAAAAAATCTGAATCCAGCCTAATATAAAGACTTCTGCAGTAGATTCAATTGTAATCACTTCAGAGCAGAAATGAAGTTTTATAAACATAGCATTGTATGGTAATTATTGTTTTTTAGACCAACAAAGTAGACTTGATACTGTATGCTGTGTGTTTTTCAATGAAGTAGATGTACTGGCAGCACAAGTCATAATAGCATCTCTCAAAATACTTTAAGAGGCAAAATAACTGTATTGTATAAAAGTGACTGGGATTGAGTTTTTTATGTCGACTTATGCCTTCTGTCACCGAACGTTTTCAACCCCTTCAACAATTACGAATGACTGGCTTTTGCAGTGTCCAGATGGACTCTAATGATGTAGCCTAATTAAAAAAATTAAGACCAAAATTTCTCTGGGAGATGTTCCAGATAATGTCAAAGGAAAAAAAAAAAAAAAGTGCAATTAGTGAAGGATTTATGGGTGAATCTTCCAGTGCTGTTACGTGTCCAAAAGATACAGTATAATGACTAATTAATTGAAGGAGGTTAATTATAAAACTAATTCTGCTAACAAACACAAGCTCACAGAAATATTAGAAGTTACTTAAGTTTAATGCTTAAAAGTCTGAATGCACAAACAATCTAGTATAATATATGTACTTGTGGTCAACAATGTAATATAATTATGTACAATGACACAATTTAGTATCAAAATCTTTCTACACTGTAGATTATTACGAAACTGTTAATGACATCAAACACTGTGTACTGAAAACACCATTTTTTGCTACCACATTTTGCAAGTTCAGTAGAACAGTCCAACTTTCAGTATTGATTCATTTTCTAGTAGGAAATTAAGTCATTTCTACGTATACGGTAAAATGTATCTACAATGTCCTTTTGATTTTGATCCATAGCAGCAAAGGCACTGTACATCAGCAGATCCACAGACTTTAAGAATTTTAAAGCATTTAAAATAACAAAACAAAAAAAGGTAAAAATACAAAAAGAAATCACATATTAATTAAACAGCAACAATGACATAAAAAGTTTAAGTATTGTCTGAGGCATAGCGGCTCAGTTTGTCTCTAATATCTGACGAGAAGGCCTGAAATGAAGACTCCCTCCATGGAATTGTCACATTCGCTTACATCTCCGTATGTATCATTTGGTGGTGGTGTTGATGGTGGAACAATGGTGAGAATTCTCCTCCTGGGACTGCTCTGACAGGTTTCATTTGGAAAACCAGTAATGACGAGTACAACAGAATTCCTGTGGAAACTGGCCATGCTGTAAACTATCCAGGAGGGAAAATGCTGAATTACTTGGGGTGAAGGTCCATTTTTGTCTGCAAAATAATGAGAAGCTATTTACTTACACATCAAATCACTATATTTCACACAAGATCTTGTTTTGACATCCATACATAAAATTATACAACTGAAATACAATTATACAACTGAAGTGCAAATAAATTAATTTTCAACACAACTTAAAAAAAAACATGCATATGATGTAGGGCTGCGGAAAGGATTAATTTCTCGATTAATCGTTAATCTTTTTGATCGATTAAAATTTTTTTGATCACTAATGAAAATACCTCACCTCTCCGCCGGCTTCCGGGAGTCCCGTTGCAGATCCGGTGACGTCACCGGACTCCTCCCCCCTTCCCCAAGTGGCTCAGTCGGCTAACGAAGGGAAGGGGGGGAGGAGTCCGGCGACGTCGATGTCTGTGACGTCACCGAAACTCCGACGGGACTCCCGGAAGACGGGTGAGTGACACTGCATTTTCATGCCACAAGCCCCCAGTGACATGTTTTAGATAATTTAGATGTAGAGCTAAAATAAATGAAATCATCCACTTCCACTGCTTTAGGTATTACAGTTTTTGTTCATAGCTGTGGTACAGGGAGGATCTTTAATTCATACCCAAACTATCCTGTTAAATAATGTGGGCTAAATGCTTATGGGTAACTAGTACTCATACATATAAAAAGGGTACGCTTTTCCAGAGAAGTAATGAAGCTGTTTAAATAAATAACTTCTATAGTGCTGACAATGCTGTGGTTTTACATACTGCACATTCACATCAGTGCCTGTCCAAGAAGCCTACAATCTAAGGTCCCCATGTCACATACTGTCACCGGACTCCTCCCCCCTTCCCCAAGTAGGTCCGTCGGCTAACGAAGGGAAGGGGGAGGAGGCCTGTGACGTCGATGTCTGTTAGCCGACGGAGCCACTTGGGCCGGTGATCTGTCGACACTGAGAACTTATCGAGTTCTGCGACCGCCTGACTTCCGTTTTCGTTACAACTAAGAGGGTTGTCCAAGAAACTTGTTCTGCACGAGCGCCAGCCAAGGCATTGGCCTATACACATACAGCACAGCAATGAAGTAATAAAATGAACTAGGATCGCACTAATCCAGCACGTTATTATTCTGAGTTGCCCCACTCAAGTGGCGGCCATATTAAGTGGGGCACGTGAGATTAATGGACGCTGGATTAGTGTGATCCTAGTTCATTTTATAACTTCATTGCTCTGCTGTATGTGTATAGGCCAATGTAGTTGGATCTGTATGTGCGTTATAATTAATCGAAATTAATCGATTAACATTTTTTTCAATTAATCGAAAAAACAGCCCTAATATGATGTTATAAAACTTACTATAATTCTTTACATTATCAGCACTCAGACTAAGGGTCTGTGTCAACAGAATCAGTTTGAGATGCTTCTGAAATCATTAATTGAGGGTTTGTTAACACCAAATGCAGACCAGATCTGCATGAGTTTCTGCACACGCAGTGCAGTGGGTTGTGCCGCGTTTTTGATGCTTTCCGGGCCGTTTTTGGTAAAATAAAAAAATTTAAAAATAGGCTTTGTGCGTTTGCATGCGTTCCAGAGCAGGTAAAATAGGGCTTGCTGCAGTATTTTTTACATGCTCTGGAACTGACAGCTGCGGTGTGAACTAGAGCCCAAAATACCATTGGAATACATTGGACGCAGTTTTGATTCGGTCTGTAACTGCTCTGCACCTGGAATGCGCTTGATGTGAACACGGCCTGACAGGAGCATTTGGCTTGCTTCAAGTGGGTTTTGCATTCCAATAGGCTTGTATGGAAATGCAAACCCATCTAATATAAACAACTTAAGGGCACAAAGAGAGGTAAAGTCAGTCAGTCTTGGCATTTTTGTTTTTACAATGCTTTCAGCCTGACAGTAAGGAGAATTTTTACTGGTGAGAAAACAAGGATGGTGTTGTCAATCTGCTCCATCATTTTCCAATCAGAAGGCAAGAGGAGGAGAATGACTAAAGTAGTGACGCTTTAGCAGTCATTAGGCTCAATGAAAGTTAACACACCAGGTTAAAGGAGAACTATTGGGTTAGGGCTTTTCCCCATAGTTCTCCTAAGGGTAACAGGAGGACACAAACTAGCGTCCTCCCGCCACCCAAAGCTCAGTATACGGCGAGCTACAGCTCGCCGTATACTGAGGCGCCGCAGCCGGAACAGATCCCGACAATGCTGGCTGGATCCACCCAGCTGCGTGAGCGACAGCTGGCTCTGCCTTTCTAGAGGCAGAGCCAGCTGTACCCGCCCCCTCCCCCTTATGTTCCGCTAGTCAGTGCTGGAGGATCGGACAGGGGAGGGTGGAAATCCCTGCAGGGAGCCGTGAGTGACAGTCACGGCACTCACCACGGATAGATCAAGAAGTGAGTGAGCGACGGTATGTGTTCGCTCACTTCCTGATCTACTGAGCCGACGTGCGAGTTTCATTGTCACAGCTCGGCTCAGATTATGAGGCTGAGTGAAAAGCACTCGCCTTATAATTCTCTTTTAAGGATCCTTATTTTCAATTAAGTAGGTTTGACAGGGTGAGGCAGCAGGAGAGGAACATTGAACAGATGGTCAAGGAAAGCAAGGCTATAAAGGAAAAGGCTTTAAGGGAATAGTTGAACAGGAGCAGGATGATCACATTGCACCCAACATGCATTCCTAACATTCAATGGATAGCACCCCTCGTTTAATATTAGACCATTTCCAGTCAGATCTTGCAGAAGATATTTTTGGGGGGTCTTCAAGCACCTAATGGGTAATATTACCCACAAGTTCTCTAATCACCCCTTTACCCCCAGCTAGGTTTTGTTTAAAAAAAAATATATATAAAATGTGACTTCACACTTTAATGCTTAGGTTTAACTACCTTACGTCCATGGCTGTTTGTGAACGGCCAGATGGACGTCTGCTCAGAGCGGGAGGGCGCCTTAAGACGTCCTGCCCCTCCCCCCTCTCGTGTCCGCGCTGAGCGCCGCACACGAGAGGGAAAACCGTCAGCATGTAAACAGCCAGCGATGGCTGTTTACATACAAGCGGTCAGGCGTCTCTAGAGACGCCCGATCGCTTGCAGGATCTGCGGGTGTGCGCCGCCATCCTCCTGCTCGTCTCTTCGCCGCCGCTGCCGGTCCCGTGTTCCGATGTGGCCGGTGCGGCTGGGACCGGCACGGCGACGCTCTAACAGGAGATCAAAGGGGTGATCATTACTTGATCATCCCTTTGATCTCTCTTCTTGTCCCCGAATGCAGGAAGTGATGTATATTACATCACTTCCTGCATTCAGTGTCACTCTCCGGTGCAGAACACCGGAGAGAAGCTGATGGAGCAGATCTGTGCTTCATCAGCTTCTGTGGGGGTCCCTAGGTGACATCAGAGGTCTTGAGACCCCTGATGTCTCCATAAAGAGGACCTGTTTGGTGAACTGGCTATTACATAGGGGATTCCTTAGTCCCCTATGTTATAGCAATAAAGTTAAGTAAAAAAAAAAAAATTACAGCATTAAAAAAAATAAAGAAGCTAAAAAAAATAAAGAAGCTAAAAAAAATAAAAAAAAATAACACAAACATTTTTTTAAAGTCCCCCGCCCCCCAGATGCACGCACAAACATGCGTCGGGTGCGCCTATGTACGAAACCGACGATTGCGCCCATTATGCAGCACATGTTACATATCGCCGCGAACGTCGCAGTGAGAACAATAATTCTAGGGCCATCAATCACTGATGACACTAAACTGATGAGCGGTAAAAACGTTTAAAGCGTCGCCTATGGCCAATTTTGGCTGCGTTCGTTTTCTGCGATTTTGCGGGCACGCGCAATTTTAAAGGTTGACATGTTTAGTGTCTATTTACCCGACGTGACCCTGACTTTTATATTTTACCAAAAAATTGGGGTGAAAAAAAATGTTTCATAACATTTTATAGGGAAACATGTTTTTTTTCAAAATTTAGGGTACTTTTTTTTGTTATATAGTAAAAAATAAAAACCCCAGTGGTGAATAAAAGCCACCAAAAGAAAGCTCTATCTGTCCCCAAAAAATGGTATGAAAATCGTTTCAGTAAAGCGTTGCATGACGGAATAAACATCAGTCAAAGTACCGCAGCGCTGAATACTGAAAAATGGCCTGGCCACGAAGGGGGTGAAACACTATGGCCTTCAAGTGGTTAAAAGAAAAAAAAAACTGGGAGGAAAAAAAACCCTACCAAGTCCATGGATTGTTTTGTAATAATGCCTAGTTGGAAGCTGTCCCTTGCTAGTTATGGTAATGCTGTCGGCATGCAAATATATTTTGACAAGGTAAAAATGATTACACATCATGAAGACTGTATATTTACATAATTGTAGCCTAGCGCTCCAGTCTTGTTTTGGAAATACAGCATAACACAGTTACCATCTGACAAGCGTGGCATGGTTGAAATGTGGCCTTTGTGCTAGAGCTGCCCCTGCTGGCCTCTAATCCTCTGTAATAACCAGTATGAGAATCTTTCATCACAGCAGTGGTTTTTCCAACTGCACATTGAATGGGCCAGAGGGGAATTTGTGGTGGTTAGTCAAGAGGAGAGAGGTCAGGAGCTGGAACTATTGTCGGATACAAATATAATCCTTTTACTTTCTATGCTTGTGTGCTAAACATTTTAGACAGTTCAAATTAGTCTTTGTTTTGCTTGCTATTATTCCCACTAAGAATTAGTGGTTAAAGCGTTATACTCAGAGGCCTTCAAAACTAAGAATATGAATCCTGCAAAGGGCCTTCTTACAAGTAGGCCACATATGGAGAATACATGAGGAAGCAGAACACGTTCAAGGGTTTTGGGCAGAGCAACTAAGCCACTCAATCTGCTAATAGCAATCAATTATCTCAAATGATAACAGGAACTTCAGGTCAACATAGTAAACAATAGGAGTTACTGTATTAGAGTAAATGGATAACAGCTCAAAAGCTGGATACAAAGCTAAAGTTATGGTTAGTTAAATGTGTATAATAGCAAACACCAGGAGTGAGCTTGGAGTGGTGGCTACTTTACAACACACAGGTACCATGGGGAACAAAAGTAGCCACCCTCCAGAAGGAAGGACAGTGTCAGCAGCAATTCAGAGATGATTTGAGGATCTACAGCTGAGTGATACACAAATAAGGTACATTTTTATTAATAGTTAAGGTATGCAAATGTATTTTTAAGATTCAACTCCTGAGTTTAGTGTCACTTCTAATCAAAGCTGGAGTAGGAGCTTCTAGTCGTATTATTGGCAAACAAATAGCGACCAGCAGATAGTTGATCTGGGATCAGATTACATACATATTTGTCTGTGTTAGCTACTTAGTGCACATTAGCAAAATGGGCTATGTGATGCGTACATAGGCCAGTATGAAAAGGCTTTTTAGTCCTCCCAGCACTATTTTAGTAGTCACTATTAAGCTGAATACACAGTTTGCGTCTAATTTTGCCTTTCACAACCATTTAAAATCCAGTAACCCACTGACATTTAATATAACAGAAAACATGTTGGTCCCCAATTGGGGCTAATGTTATCTAGCTGCTCAGTCAAGTCTTTGATCAATGGATACCAAGTGGAAAGCAAATATTGTCATATAACCCTTACACCATTCTTGAACATACTGCTGCTTTCTCAGGCCTAGCTTCACCTTGCCATGTCAGTTCACATGGGGAATAGCCTTTGACGGACAAGTCCCGTGATTGGTTTAAGAGATCATAACACTATATGGCAATTCAGCCTTTACTTAAATGAGAACTATGGGGTTAAGGCTTTTCCCCATAGTTCTCTTAGGTTAACAGGAGGACACAAACTAGCGTCCTCCCGTCACCCTAGGCTCAGTATACTGAGACGCCGCAGTATACCCAGAGCAGCTGCTTGCGGTATACTGAGACGCCGCAGATGAAGTTGATCCTGACAATTATGTCTGGATCCGCCCAGCTGCGTGAGTGACAGCTGAAGGCAGAGCCAGCTGTACACGCCCCCTCCCCCGTCCGATCTGCCAGTCAGCGCTGGCGGATCGGAGGGTGGAATCCATCCCCTCCTCTGTCACGGCAGAGAGCTGTGACAGGATCAAGAGGTGAGCGAACGCCGGTATGTGTTTGCTCACTTCTTGATCTACTGAGCCGACCTGTGACAGTCTCATTGTCACAGGTCGGCTAGAACTATGAGGTGAGTGAAAAGCACTCACCTCATAGTTCTCCTTTAAGATTGACTATTTAATGGTTCATACACTCTAATTCTGCCAGTTTGCAGGTCTGTCAAATGCATGATAAATATACTTTAGTTTATAATTCCATGACACTGGAAAGACCCTAATTATAGCTGTAGCACACAATGCTGCTGCTAAAAAGAAGCAACATAACACAGCAAATTTGTAAAACAGTAAGCACACACAGTTCAGGTACAGCCATCAACTCATTATGAAAATACTGTGCTGCAGCATTTCCATTCTGGAAAGATATAGGACTCCAGATTTTGAGGGTAGTGTACCAAAGTTGGTGTAAAGGCACTTGAAAATTCTCCATCTTTCACCACAGGTTCACTTTAAAGGGGACCCGTCAAGAAACAAAATAACTGCATGGTTAAATGTGATCAATGCAGCCATATCCTAATTAATGCGTGACATACTGATTCTAGGACAGTAAAGCTGAACCTATTGCTAAACACCTGGAACCGGTAGCCCCTTCAAAGTGAAGGTTGGATGCTCAAAGGGCCCGATAATGATTTGGCCCTGTAGCGCCACACCCTGTCGCCATGTCTGCGGTTATCAGACTCTTTTTTTTAAAGTATGTTCTAGGAAAGCAGTGCATTATGTTCTAAGGTGGTTAAAAAGGGCAGTAATACATTTTAAACTAACTACAATGGTAGAGATATCATATGTGATCCAATGCAACTTTGATGTTTAATTCTCCCTCATTTCTTTCTAATAAGGTTGGCGCCAACTGAATAAATTATCAACAACTTTGAGCATCTGTCTCAAAACAAAACTTAAACTTTTAGCTGCAAAATGCCTGTCAAGGCTGCGAAAACAGAAAGCTGGTGCCAGGGATTCATTAACCGATTCCTTCCAGACCAGGAAAAAGATTTTTCAAGTGCTTGTTCAGCTTAAAAGGGTCAGTCAGGGGCTGATACATTAATTGCATACCCCAAAAGCAAAACCTCCATACAATAATTCCTGACAGTAGAGAGATCTCACCAACACAATTGCTGAGGAGATGCAAGAAACGGTCACATGGTTCAAACTCTCCAAATCCACCAAAAACTAAAATGCCAGTTTGGAATTGACAGACTCTTTAACCCCTTCATGACTGAGGCCCTTTTTTCCATTTTTGCACCCATGTTATATTCCACATTTTAGGCCTGAAAATTACGTAAAACCACCTCAATATCTATGCAAATATACACATCGTAGGTGACTGTATTTGAAAATTGGTTATCTAGTTTGCCTTGTTGTATTGGGGTCTTCTGAGGTTCCAAGTTGGAATTAAGCCATTATCTTTATGAAAATGGTTTTTATGAACTTTTAACTTCACAAAAGTTCCAAAAACATGTGAGAGGATAACTTTGTGTTCTCTGCTTGTGCTGCAATGTAACTTGCTACCAGTATCTGAGTACTACAGAAGAGGGGGAGGTGTTTGAAGGGCATTTCTTATAATGAGGCAGCCTGAGGCTGTTGCCTCAGTTGCCTCGGGTGGCATCTCATTGGGGAGGTGGGCTGCAGCCACAGTCTCCCGGGTGCTAAGAACTCTTGTGAAATTCTGGTCCGGCTTCCTGCCCAGCTCACGGGGGTCACTGGTTGCCTGGAGCTAAGTGGGACACTCTGGCTTGCATCCTGCCGAGCTCCTGGCAACTTGTGATGTCAGTGAGCTGGGTAGGACAAGGGAAAAAGCTGCTGATCAGCGTTTTGTGGGTCCAGCACCCTCAAACCTCCCCACCCAAACAAGCACAACATTCTCCCCCATCCCCCCCCAGAAAGGGACATATAATCTCCTGTATACCCTAGGGACAGCCCTGGGTGTCTGAAGTCTAATTTAGGAAAGCAGCCCAGGGTGACAATGCCGCTTCCAAAGAGACACAGTACAGCCAGCACAAGAGTTCGCCTTAGGACAGGAAATGTGTTAGGATGTGACAGGATCACCAGGTAAAAATAAAGTGGGAAAAACATGAAAAAAGAAAACTAATACAACCACCATATTTAAGGACTGGTATGTTGCAATGCATTACTTTGTTCTTAGGTTTTACTTCATAAAGGGAATTATAGTCTTTACATTTTCTGGTATGTATATACACACACATTTATAAAAAATCATCTTCAATTATATTTGCCCAGTACATATGCAGGCTCTGCATGGCTGTGCGTTACTGATCTTACAATGCAGTTCTATGGGTCACCCAACCAATTAAAAAGAACTAGTATATTTAAAAGGTCAGCAATGGCAGCCTCAATTTCCTTTCAGTTTGAGGAGGTGGCGATTATAGAAAGTGTTTATAGCCAGTAGAGGTGTAGTTTAGCAAACTGACAATGACTGTGTAAAATTCTAAATGCCCATGAGAAGTGGCTTATTTTTGGGCACTCGCTCAGACACCAACACGCCCTTTAAAGTACCCGTTATTGGAAGCAGTTACGAAGCTTAAGGTAAAGTAAACCGCAAGCCTTATTCAATGAAGACTTCTGGTTCACAAGGGCAAAAAACCATAGCAACTAATCAGGAAGGCAGACATTATACACAATTATAAGTGCTGATCGGTTGCTGTGGGTTACTATATGCAAGAATTGGCATTTTAGAATAAGAACAATTTATTGAATGAGGCTGAGAGATTTGCCGGTGTACAAGTAGGTAGGAATGTCACCAGAAAACCATAGAGGAGCCTGTAAGACAGCTTGGAAGCAGACACAGTAGCAGATTTTCATATTGGAGCCCGTGTTGCCAGTACAACTCTCTTTACACACCATCCAACAAAGGGCTTATTCACTCAAGATGCAATGAAGACACAAGCAGTATCGTGTTTGATTTAAGCCATGTTGCCATATGGATTCAGGTGCACTGTAATGCAATTTGGAATAGCCTTATTTAATTGACTGAAAACTGCAAGACAATGCAACATATTTGAGAAAAAAAAAAAAAACAAGGTAACGCATCGCTCTGGTGAGAATAGACACCACTGACATAAAATTATTTTTTGTTGAGTACCATGCATTTTGGCAAAAATTAGTTTTTGGTAAAGCTCCACTTTAAACATATGTATTTCAGAAGCAGCACATTCAACAGACTACATATTTAAACAAACTCACCTTCATTTTTGCAGCCAGGACAGGCCACTTTGCTAAAGTCAGTTCATATTTTAGAAAGTCTTCTTTACACAAAATAAATATGTTACAACTATAATACAGAATCCAAGAATTTCAGCCCGATGTATAGAATTAAGTATACTTTTCCCGTGTGTCTTCCACACATTTATGTGAAGATTTGGTTTCAAGTTCCTAGTAGAAGTATTTACAACAAGATAGGAAACTGAGGAACGCATTTGGCAAAGAAATAAAGAGCAGGAACTTTGTATGGTGGGTAGATCAGGTCCTTGGTTCCAAAAAAAGATGGTGTGATTTTACAGAAAAGTGCTATTAGAAAGCATCCTGATGGCAGTCTGAATGTGATTCTAATAAATAACTTCGTAGACTGTAGCCTTCTTGTCCCCTGATCCAGTGACAATGTATTTATCATCTGCAGAGATGTCGCAGCTCAGCACTGATGAAGATTCTTTGGACTGTGGGAAATAATAAACAATGAACAGTGAGTTAAGAGGTTCTACCCAAGAAACGTAACACAAGACAAAGAACAGGCAGAGACATCTGCTTCTAAAACAGGTCACTTCTCCAGATTTTCAGATTTGTTTATCTCAGGTAAACAATGTAAGACCTTAGGAAAATGAAAAGTACATTAAACGACTCTCAGGCAAAATATGCTTCCGGAAACCTGCAGAAGTGTATAAGCAAGCTAATGGTGGGGAGATGCGGATGTATATAGGATATATAGGTATAGGACCTCTCGTTAGGAACACTTGGTACTTGAAACTTTAAAGATCAACATTATAAAATGCATGGTGACTTTCTTAATGTGTATTTTCTTTTAAGAAGGAACTCCAGGAAAGTAAAAAGTTAACCCTTGTAGTGGGCTGCCCTCAATGCCACAGAACTAAGGATCAGGTGAGTAGATCTTCTGTATTCTGCCGCTAGAGAAAAATGAGCAGTTACCCTTTGGAGTGAAAGGGTTAACTTTTTACATTTCTGGAGTTCTTCCTTAAGGCATTTTTTTCCCTTTAACCCCTTCATGACTGAGGCCCTTTTTTCATTTTTTGCACCCATGTTAAGTGTAATAACAGATTCATTGATACCCTTGTGCAGAATATCTTATATACAGTGTGATGAAACCACATCTATACAATGAGTAAATACCTCCTCACATGAGTGATATTTAGGGCCCTTTCACACTGGTGCGTTAATACTAGGGATGCACCGAGTACAGTACTCGGTACAAGTACAAATACGCTTCGAGCGCTAAGACTAGAGAAAAATTCAAAAGTTAGGAGGCAGTTGTCATTTGTAAGGAGCACACAGAGCTCCTGGGATTTGTACATCTCTATTATAATTTATTTTGTTTTTATAAATATAAATAAAGCGATGCACCGATGACAGTAGTTAATACACATGGACGTTAGGGCAACGCATTGATTTAAATTGGCTGTCAATGCATCAGAATGCATAGAAAAATGGACCTGCAGCATGTTTTACGATGCAGCGCACCACAACACATGGGAGTAGCGTTGGGATACAATGCACATCCATTAGGGTGCCATTATCAATAACTGGCACCGCATCGCACCAATGCATGTTACTGAACCACTGTGAATGGGCCCTTAATCTCGGATATTGAAAAGAAAAGAAAAATGCTGTTGAGCTAATGCAGAAGATTGTTGAAATCATCATAAACTTAACTCTATGGGGTATACCTATATGAGGGGAAAAAAAAAATCACCCAAGAATCTACTAAGCAATTGTTTAGAGATTCATCTCCCAATTCCATTGTAGGCTATAGAGGAAAGCAGAGGAGAGCACTTATAATTTCTGCTACACAAGTGACTTGTGGCATTGTGCAATTGTGGGAGAATAAATCTCTATATCACACTACTGAAAGTCTCTTATGTGGCAGCTCACATTAAAAGTTATCTGATAAATAGAGATGATCTCATGAGACTTTAGTAGCATGATTAAGCTACTAAAATCTGCATGTGTAGCCCAAGCGTTAAGGTAACCGATAGAGATAAAATGGTATTCTTTGGAAGTGCTCAATTTCATGCAGATTGACTTGTCTAAGAAATATAGTGCACATCTTAGTACAGCAATCTTCTGAACAGACATACGTCACAAGAAAAACTGATCTGCGGTACTAAAATGTTTTAGTCAAACAATTTTTCTTCATGTCTTATTTGCCATCCTAATTTAACCAAGCAATCTCACATAATCAATGCATGTGTGCAAATGTAACTCTTTCCTCTACCTGCATGCATGGTTTCAATATCTCACACTGCCAGATGACTGTTCGTAAATGTATGAAAATAATAGAGAACCAATAGTTTTATTAATAATATAATAAGAACTTTTGTAAAAACTATGTGAAACTTAAGGGCCAGACACAGACTTCTTAAGAAACTCTGTCTCATATAGAGTCATTTTACACATTATAATGTGACCTGAATTGTTATAAAGATACTGCAAGTCACGTCAGAGTTCCATGGTTTGTATAGTAGCACTTAAAGAGAGCTATGGGGAAAAACACTTACCCCATAGTTCTCCAAGGGTCACGGGAGGACATGTACTAGCATCCTCCCGTGACCTAAAGCTCAGTATATTGCACCACAGCCGGGAGGGATCCCGACTATGCTGTCGAGATCCACCCACCTGCGTGAATGACAGCTGGCTCTGCCCATCAATGAAACTGTCACACATCAGCTCAATAGATCGGGAAGTGAGCGAACACATACCGTCGCTCGCTCACTTCTCCCTGCAGAGAGCGATGACTGTCGGTCACCGCTCCGTGCAGGGATTCCCCCCTCCCTGCTCAGATCCTCCAGTGCTGACTGGCAGAACCAATGAACTAGGAGGATGAGTGATTATCACTCACCTCATAGTATTCCTTTAAGCTGGGTATACATGGTTCTTTTTCTTTCACTCAAACCACGGCCTGAATGAAAAAAATAAAAAACGGATTCCTTCATCAACACTTTCCAGCATTGCATAACGAATCCCCCGCTGTTTACTGACAGCGGTTGCCGGTGCTCTTACTCATTCACACATGAATGAGTAATAGCTCAGTGGATGGATCCATCCAAGGTTTTAATGGGGCTTCAAACCTCAGATAGGATTTTAAAAACGTATAAATCTAAAAACATACATACTTGGAAATAAATTAAAATGAATCCAAAACCATTATGGTTTCCCTAAAAATATATACACTTAGAAATAAATTAAAATCATCCAAAACCAATATGGTTTCCTTAAATAGAAGTTTTTTGTTTTTTTTTAATTCTACTTGGCTATCAGAAATGTACTCGACAAATAAAAAAAATAATATCTCTGTATCTCTATATACATAAACACAGTGTAATAAGACTACTCGTTACAAGCGCTTAGATTTGTTGTAAGGCATTAAACCAGTGCCTCTGTTCTAACTGACAAGGCGTAAAGCATTCTGAGTGACGTCTTAGTGGGGCTCTAAAGTATTACATTTCTAGATCTTCTTGCTCACCACAGCACAATGTAGTTTATAAATAGCATATATCCAGTGACAATGGTTTTCCAGTGAAGCGCTTAGCTTAAACACATACAAGCTTTATCTGGAAGTGAGGAAAAAGTACCATTACCATCAATAGACTTTTAGCTGCGCATATCTCAGGAAAGCGGATATTACTTAAAATTGATTTCATAAGTTTGCGCATTTATGAAAAATCGTAAGAAAGTAATCAGGAGCTGAATTTAAATTTGTAATACTGTCTCTTTGTCCTTCCAGCTTTTAATTATGTAGAGGTAACTTATCAGTGGCTGCAGATCTACGATATGTATTAAAATGGCATTAGTAACAGCTATCACTCATCCCATTAATACAACTCCTTGTTCATATCCAGTTTTTTTGCATGTTATCCAGCCAAGTCAAGCATTGACTATGACAATCATGTAATGTACAGTAAAAAGCAAGTGATAACAGGGAGCTATCAAAAGTGTTTCATATCACTTTCAGAGAAGTTAGAAAATATCTACAACCATGTCAGGATTGTCCCTTTTTTTTTCTCGAAAACTGAATGAAAAAAATAAATCAATGATGTTATTGTAACCATAGATTTACACCACCTGCTATTCTCAGATCTGCATGTTCCTGTCTAATTCTGATTGCGTAAAACGATATTACCTGTGCACAGAAAATACATAGCAACACCTAAGCAATTGTAACCACCAATGACAAACTTTACCTGGAATATACTGGCTCCATAAGGTGTTCTCCATGCATTAAGGAGGTTGTCCTTTCCAGTGCTCACAAACCATTTACCTAAAACAAATAAATGATGATAGTGATACAGGTATTTCTTGTACGAACTTGACCTTTGAACAATGTGCGAGTGGAAAATAGGTGGAGGAAATCTGACAAATGAGAGATATCAAAACATCCCTACTGAAAGTTCAAATTTACAAAGTCACACTCAACTTGTACTTCTTTGTTTTACAAGGTCATACAGTTTACAGTTATTAGTAAGTTCTGTGACCAAGCAAAAAAGACAACCGAGAAGAAAACACAGTGCCTTAGCTACACATTTTCTCTCTTGCTCTCTGGGCATGAGACAAACAGAGAAAGGCAGGCAGTTTTATTTTGCAGTGGTAGAATTGAAGGCGAAGATTAGTCTGCTAAAATTGCAAAAAAGTTTATTCACTGTAGGCCACTGTCAGAATACCCAAACAGAGCCATTAGCCGATTGGCTGCTGGATCTTTTCATTTGAAGATTTTCCAAACCTGCTCCTTTGATCAGCTGATCGAGAGATCCCAGCCAAAAGGGTGCCGCCAGCATAGTGTATGGTCAGCTTTACACTCACATACCATGCATATAAGAATATGACTCCTGTAGCAGTATATCACTGGTGAGCCAGGAGGTGACTGGCACCCAGGAAGCAATAGGAATGTAACCCATGTCAGCCTGCCATGCACAGATTTTACCATATTCAGTCCAAAAGCCTTAAGTCAATTGTAGATAGGCCAGTAATGTCCAGCTACTGTCCCCAAAGTTTTTTGTTTTTTTTTAACTCGGTAGAAGAGCCTCCGTGCAAATATATTTGTTTTCCCCAATCATTTAGTATTGCTTCTGACCTGAAGAAGAGAGGTTCACTCTCGAAAGCTTGTCTTTGTCTTTTATATATTTTGTTAGTCCAATAAGAAAGGTATCATTGCACACTGCAATACTGCGAACGTGCAAAGTTCATTTATTTTACTAAAGTACCCATAGGACAGTAACTAAGCCTCGCATAACTAAAACACACCCCATTAAAATATCGAGTTTCATTTTTCTTTACAAATGGTGTTACATGGGTGTTTTATAAACGGAGCACAGAAGAGTTAAAAAGGCTCTTTAAGGTTACAGCTCACTTGCGTTACATTTGACTCCACACTGAGCCACCTTATCCTCTATAATCCTCTGAAAAATTCATGAGCAAGAAATCAACACTTTGGCATTGGTAGTCCGCACTAGGGAAGAGCAGCACACTGAAACAGATGAGATCTACAGGCAAAACAAGCAAATACCTACCACAATGGGCAAACTTGAGGGAGAGTACACAGCTTTCATGAAGATGTAGCTGGTATTTATCTGGCTTGGTGACATGCAACACCTCCACATTGCTGTTCTCCATGCCCACTGCCAGCCATTCACCAGTTGGACAGTATCCCAGGGAGAAGATCTGTGGGCAAGAGAATAAAAGACCTCAGTTTATTTAATAGTATTATAGGGAACATGATACACTTGGATGTTCACGGAACTCCATTTCCTTTTTATTAACAAATAAGTCAACTCAAATTTAATCGACCGGTCATATATGAAGTCTAAATAAAATGACTAAACACCATATACTCAATTTTTAGATGATTGAGATTAGTGGGAGCTTTGTTTTTATCCACTCACACACACTAATGCACAAGCATCTTTGGTTTCTTTAAAGATGCTGCTAGCAACATCTGCATACAGCAATGTCTTACGCTAGTGAGACACACCGTGCAATATTGAAGGAAAGCTGTACTGACACAACTATGTATGCTGCCACTCTTGATCTTTTTGAAAATGTGAATTTCCCTGCGGAAGTGTAGATCTAATTGCTTTAAAGATAATCTGTCACTATTGCCATTCGACTTGTATCCAACTGCCCCACCACTCTGCTGGAGACTTCTGAGATCAGGGGAGCAGATGGCCTCCTGCTAGAAAGCTAAGATCAGGCATGAACATGGTCACCTGACCAGGAGGAGGAACAAGGGTTTGGACACAGTGCATTGACAAAGCAACGTGGAACGGTATCAGAAGATAGGGATTTATTGCAAGCACTCTTAGTGGGCAAATCGACATAGTATCTTTAATACCGAGTCCTTGACAATATCAAGTATGCAGATCAACAGTTCTGCTGCTTGCCTTTTCACTGTGACAGCCAAGCGACTAGTATTTCTAGAAGGCGGCGAGCCAGGTCAACCTACACTATTTTTCTCACTTGAGATTTTCTTCAATAAATAGGAATAACCTTGGCTTGATCCTACTGAGCATTTAAAATGGTTCAAAACAACAACAGTGTTTATCTTAATTGCCAGATAAAAAGAACAAACTGCTGTCTGATCTTGCCCAAACTAAATAAAAAACCCCCAAAAAAAACAAACGAGGTCACAGGAAGTCTGGGTCACCTGTGTAATAAAACATGAAGCTCTACTAGTAGGCATGAAATAAAATGATATATTCAGGCGTATTTCAAGTACCTTTAAAATCTTGACCTATGTAATAAGAGTAGTAGGGTCAGAATATTCCAGAAAATACCTGTGACGTGAAGTCATGTTGTTGTAGCTGTCGGCCTTCACGAAGATCCCAAGATCGTACTGTGTTGTCCAAACCTCCCGTCCAGAGCTTGGTACCATCATTAGAAATGTCAATACAGCTGGCTCCATCTGTGTGGCCCTGGAATTGCCTGAAATTAACAGACAATTTTACCAAAATGAAACAATACACAAATGCCACAATGTAAGCATACAGACATATGTCACAACATACAATGATTTGTATTATTAAAGCTACTTTCACAAACAACAAACAATCTTCCTGTTCATGGCTTGTCATAACAGATGATGTGATGTCTGAGAAGTAGAATTGTGCATTCATACATAAAGATGTCTCTATCATAATGAGCTGCTTTTTTAATTTTTCTGTTCATTCTTTTTGCATATCAGTATCAGCATGGCCCCCATTTGAAGATTTCAGTTTATTATAGCTGTGCTAAACTGTTATAATATCATAGCAGCAAAGGTCACTGTATGGTGTTTTACATGGTGGTTTAGGGGTTAGCACTGGTGTCCAAAAGACCATTCCCACCAGGGATGCCATTTGCACGGAGTCTGCAATGGGGTTGTTCCAGATTCTACCTGTTGCCCAAAAACAAATGCAGGTTTCACCATTTTCTGACCAAATTCACCTGTGTGTAGGAGTATATGTATAAAATAAAAAACTAAAAGGGTACATGGAGTAATATAGTGGGTAATATACAGAATGCTTCCCCAAGTACTTAGAATGACCTTTGTCTGCAATTATTGCAAGTCTTGGTAAGGGTGTTTCTTTTTTATTTTTACCTTCCCTCCCCAACTTAAAACCTAGCTTTGTGAAGCATGCATGTTATTTTTGTACCATGGACAGATTCGTCCATCTCACTTGTGGACATCTTAAGCTCCTCCAGCGCTACCATGAACCTCTTGGATTCTTCTCTAAAGCCCTCCTTACCAGGGCACTAAGTGTTGGTTGTCAGCCCTTTCTAGGCAGAGGCAAACCCTATCCATTCTAAATAATGGACTTTAACAATATTCCAGGGCAGGGGTAGGCAAACTACAGCCTTCCAGCTGTGGTGCAACTACACATCCCATAAGGCATTGCAAGACTGACAGCCACAAGCATGACTTCCAGAGGCAGATGCATGATGGAATTTGTATGTTCACCACAGCTGGCGGTCCGAAATTTGCCTACCCCTGTTCTAAGGGATGTTGATGTTTTATAACCAAGTTGATCGTTTTAACGCTATAACTTTATTCTAGACTTCTTTCGACTGATTCCCTGTCTTCACGATGTCATCCGTTTAGATATATTCTAACGGACTCGGAGACCTTCTAGAAACAGAAGTAATTTTTTTTTCTTTTTAAGATCATGTAGCACTAAATACACGCAGGTAGACTACAATTAGTCATGTGACTTCTGAAGGCCGTTGGTTTCATGTCAAAAAGGAAAAATATAAATGCAATAAAAGACATTTAATTTGGTATTTGTATATTTGTTTCAACTTTAGGTACTGTTTTGGGTTGAAGAGGAAGACACAATCCTTAATAATTTTTTTAACTTCCAGACAGTAAGAATAACGTAAAAAGGTAGGACGATCAATATCTCTTAACCAAATATTGAGACAAAATATAGTTTGACTGGCAACAATACATTATCCATAGGAACCAGACTTCAGGGTTTTTTCCCCCTAGAATGTGCACTTGTTTGGATGATAAGGGCCACATACCCTTTATTATGCAGATGCTCTATTCCTTCCTATTACAATCATACCTAACCATGTTTCCAGCATGTGGTTATAATAAAACCTTCAGACAAAAGAGCTGGCGGCGCCAAACACCCTGAAGCTTTTGTCTACTTAAGGGATAGCATCTGGTTATGTCACATACTTAAAATGATACAGAATCCTATACGCACACTTGCACACAGCATTTCCAAAACTCAAAACTGACTTATGAATGCTACGACTGGGCTGGCAAGCTAAACAACTCTTATTTACCCGATCAGTCAAGTACACATATAATCAATATGTTCTCCTCTCCTCACAATAGGGTTCTGTTTTAGCCCCAAAACACACTGAGAACCTAAAATCTGCAATTTCTCAATCAATTTTTCTGCCGATACTGGAACAATGCCTGTTTGGATGATGCGGATTTCATTCATATCAGCCATGCCACCTATGGACTGCTTATTGCTTTTTTTCCTCATTCACTAGTTGCAATACTACTACAATAAAAAGAAAAAATATATATACTGTTCTCCATAATGCTTAATAGCAACATTATTGGGAAGGCTGTACGGGCCCCATGGATTCCAGTGGCTGTCTGCATGTTGAATACATTGCACAGTGTATGGAGAGGAATATGCCAGGCTGAACACAAGGCCAGTTAGGAATAGTAGTACAGCGGAGGGGAGTAACTGATCGAACAGCCATATGAAAAGGGGCCTGTTTGTTTTTCACGTGAAGGTGATCAAAGCTGAATGTTGGTCTATAGGCAGGTGCATGTAAACATGAGTATCCATTCAAATTTCAATCCTTCTAGGTCCAGAAAAAACCCCCCAGACAATGTTAGTCTTTTTGGACCTAATGTGATGGACGGGGGTAAATCAGATGTAAATGGATGCATATCTGTCTACACCTTGCTTACCCATAGACCAACATGGGTTGGTTCAGCTCCGTGGAGCAAAAACTGAATGGCGATAGATGTCACAAATGTAACATCACTCCAGTTTGGCTCCAAATCAGCAGGTGATCTGTTCACTGCTAAGCGGAACAGACTCTATCCATGTAAAAGGGCCATAACTATATTTGTATAAAGGGGAACTTTTTTGGCATGTTCTGTATTAACTAGGTGTACGACGTGGAACTGCTGCTGTGCTTTCCCCTGTAAACAAGATGTGTGAAGGGGAACTAAGGCTGTGTGTTCCCTTATTAAGCACATGTATGAAGGGGAACTGAGGCTGTGTGTTCCCTATTAAATGATATGCATACATGTATAAGGAGAAAGATGCCTATCTCAGTACTGCTGTAAGCATGAGTGCTTAGTATATGCTATCAGGAGGAGGGTGGGCAGTGTACGGATGAGTCTGTCAGGGAGTGGCAAGTTTACTTTAGTATACATTTTTCATCAGGAAATTGGCTGCATATTGTATGCACAAATTCGTGTGGTGGGAAGATGTGCTTAGCACAAGTTCAAGTCTACTGAAGAAAAAAATAATTTTACCCAATTTCAGTAAGGTTTGTGTCTTTACAATTTTAAAAAGGAGGCAAATGTGTTTATTTTGAATGTATATTTTACAGAAAAGAAATGAAAAGTGCCCCTTGATTCATGGGTGTTAGTTAAGGAAGGACCATGAAGTATCTGGCTGGATGGGCAAGGTTACGAATAGTAGACCTGTGCCTATAGGTGGCAGAGGCAGCTTTTAATTTCTTTTGTACCATTGTTGGCCACACATTATGTTCCTACCCTCAGTAAAAATAAAGTCGCCCCACATAAGCTTGTATACACTACACTACAGACTAGGACCAGTTAAACAAAAATGTGTGTAAAAGGAAGGGATACTAACAAAGTAGTAATGCTTTGGGTGCCAACTGTGTACCTACAGACCCGGTTGTAGTAATTTGGCGTTATTCATGGGTAATGTTTAAAGAAGAATGGATGGTTGTCAGAAATTATTCATGGGTATAGGGAAGAGAGGGGTGCCTGGTCAGGTAGGCTGTACAGGCCCTGTGATTTCTAACGTTGGCCCTGGTTACACAAATTATTGTGTAGAGTTCTCAAACCTCTAGAGTAACAAAAATACAGAAGGTGGAAAGTTGAATAAAAGATGAATGGCCCCACTACCTGTAGTGTTACTTAATCAAAAGCACCCCAGGACGTTTAGTATGGCCCCATAGGAGCCTCCAGCTCCAGGATGAAACTTCTGCCATTTCCCTGCAGCTCTTAAAGAGGAACTTTAACCATTTCATCAAAATAAAGGCACCTTTAAAAATGTTTAGTAATGACAATCTCCAAACAGATATTTCTAGATAATTGCTGGCTTTGTATTCTTTGCAATACCTTTTGTTTCCATTTCCTCCCCAGTCTTCTCACAGTGGCCATTTGTTCGAAGGGCAGAATAATCTATGCCCCCTTCCTGCCTGGAACTCTGGCACATGCGACTAGGACATGTGACCATGCATATCATCTCAGGGAAGGAAAATGCATTACAGATGAGATTTCCCAGCAATGCACAGCTTATGTAACCTTCCTAGGATCCAATGCTCGGGCACAATTACCTAGTTTGTGCCAAAGTGGACCAGGAAGTAGAAAACAAATTGTAAGTAAAATGAAAAGATGTTTGAAAGGAGGACTGTGGGGTCAGTGCTTTTCCCCATAGATCTCCTAAGGGTAACGGGAGGACACAAACTAGCATCCTCCCGCCACCCAAAGCTCAGTATACCGCAAGCTACAGCTCGCGGTATACTGAGACGCCGCAGCCGGAATGGATCCCGACAATGCTCTCTGGATCTACCCAGCTGCGTGAGTGACAGCTGGCTCATCGCTTTCTGCACGGATAGATCGAGAAGTAAGCGAGCGACGGTATGTGTTCCCTCACTTCCCGATCTACTGAGCCGACCTGTGACAGTTTCATTGTCACAGGTCGGCTCAGATTATGAGGCTGAGTGAAAACCGCCTCATAATTCTCCTTTAACGAATGAATGTAAGATGATTTTATATCAGTATGCAGAGCTGCATGCTTATATGATTTTTCGTAAAAGGGGGTAGAAGGTCCGCTTTAATGCAATGCTGTGATGTTCCTATCTAGAGACTCGGAGAAGCTTGCCAGAGCTTTAGCTTTTCTCTGAAAAGTTGAGATTTCCATACTGATCTCCAAAGCTTCAGGGGTCCTAAAAGGTACTCTGGAACATTACCAGAGGTACACCTTTCAATATTACACATGTTTTCCTACAATAAAAAGGTACGCCGACTACTATACGCCAATTAAAACTGCCACCTCTACAAACAATTCTGGCACAACTGAGCAAACCTTTGAAATATGGAATATAGGCCGACACTGTTAAGATGCAATAATCATTATAAACTGATGGCCCACTCTGGAGCTAGTTTATCATTAAGAAGAGTACAGATAAATACCAGAACACGCATC